ATGCTGTTTACCGATAGGGGAAACCCAACTAAGATGCGGCCGCTTCTGGGAATAAGAATTTTGGCGCGAGCTCAGATGGAGTAGCCTCAGACATATGCAACAGCGCTTCAAGGTAGAAAGTTTTCTGCACTATATAACCCCTATATATTCGCTAAAATCCCTGTAGTTTCCATTTTGTTTTTCATTATCCCTACATGTTACATAACCATAACATTTGAGTGAGGCTTTTGTATAAGGCTTTTGTGGACCGGTCCCTGGCTGCCTTAGTTCTTAGCCTCGCCCTCGGATGGGTTATATAGGGATTATAGGGTGTATATTGGGGATATATTGGGATAATGCAAATTACTAGTAAGGGTTTAGGGTTTACTTCAAAGTGCCTGCCAGGTACAAGCTGACAAGAAAGAGATTGAGGTGCTGGTTCTTGCAGCTTGAAGACCCGAGGGCTCACAACATCTCAGAGCCCATCAATGCTAATTGAGTATCGACCGAGTGTTCGAGCAGTCAAGTATGCAGTTGCATCACGCAGGTTTGTGACTATTTGACATGTCACCAGCTCCTGCAGAGCGAATCGTCATGCGCTGAATTCCCAGATGAAGCCTCCTGGCCCACATGGCCAGGCCCTTCGCAAACAGTCCGCCGATGCAGCGGAGCAGGTCGCGGCCGAACCTGTAGACTCTACGGCAACAACTCGGCAGAATGCAACAGCAACCATCAGCTTGTGGGTCACCATACTCTACAAATTGCACTGTGGATGCATCCATTCATGCTGCACGCTTGCCATGGGTAAGACAGTTTAGCACAGCTGCAGGCTCCATGCCACCTTCCATGTCCTCCCTTTTTTTTGCTGGTTGCTTCAGGCGAAGCGCGAAGCTGAGAAGCGCGAGAAGGTGCGGAATGCGGGCCAACTGCAGAGGTCTACTTGCAAGGAAATGCGTATCCCGACCAAAACCAGACCGCCTCATCCGTGACTGGAGCCCTTCCAGCCAGGCTGTTCAAGAGGCAGAAAGCCACGTGAAGAAGTTGCAGCAGGCACGTGCATCAACCTTAGGTGTCGGGCTTAGCGACTAAGCAGAGAAGTATATTAAGCCGTGCAAGAGACAGGTGCATGGAAGCGGTGTAGCGTCACGTAGACAGCCGGCAAGGGCATTCAAGTCGTTGATTTCATAAAGCCACAAAGCCACATGCTGCGACATTAATTACTTTGTTCTAAAGCTTGTGCGCAGATGATTTGGTTATTTCTGCATGAAGCGCTTGATTATAAACGTAGCCCATGTGTTGAGCGTCGCACAGCTAGATGCTGTCGGCTTGGCTGCCATCTCGCAGGCGTTGTCCAGAACCATACGGTGCCAACTTTGAAGCTACGCTAGCAAGACTTTTGCCCAACGCGCATACAAGAGCAACATTTACAGGACCGAGCCCTCAGTTTCTTTTCCTTGAAATCCTTGAACTCGCTCCCCTCAGCAGTCTTACAATGACCATGGCCGTGGAAGTCCTTGCAGCGCCTCAGCGGCCGCTAGTGTGGCCAGACCGCACAGAGAAGCATAAACTTTTGGGGAGTTTTCCACACGGCGCTTTAAGCTTCGATTTCTCAGGTTTTCCGATCCCGAGAGATTTCAAATGATTTAGTGTACGTTTTGAAAGGCCCCTCACTGCCCACGAATGTACGTGGCACTCTGACTCTGCATTGCTTATCACGGAAATCCTTCCATGTAAATCCACTTTCTCGTGTATTTGGAGATTCTGAGAGTCATGGGTCTCCTTTGGGTCCTGGAAATGCAAACTTAATGCGCAGCTCAGGTGTGCCCCGGGGGCTACTGTAGAGGCGACCTGGGTGCTTCGTGCCAGCGAGGCCTCACCCAAACAGCACCGCACCACCATGAAACAATTGATGTTTGCTGGCTGTTGCCCTTTGGCCCTGATGTGGAAGGTGCCAACCTCTCCAAACCCCATACCCCAAACCCTCAATAGTAGTTTCCATCTTATTTTCCATTATCACAATATAACCCCAATATTACCCCAGTATTACCCCAATATTACCCCAATAACACTCCAATATAACCTTAATAACCCCAAATGATAAGCCCAATATAACCCTAAACCCTAATAAGACCCTATTGGGTACATGGCTGTTCCAGGCCCTGGCACCCGGAGCTGCGCTTGTGCTGCGCGCGACGGAGGCGGACTCATGTCCGACTGCTAGGAATTGGGTATATAGGGATATTAGGCAATCATTAGGGTAATATTAGGGTATATATTGGGGTGACATTTGGATAATGGAAAATAAAATGGAAACTACTATTTAGGGTTTAGGGTTTGGGGTTTGGTAAAGAACATAGCACCTACGTTCGCGCATAGCGACCTGAGCAGCGGTGTGCTGCAGGTAGCGTCCGTAGCTAATGACCCCTCCCCCAACAAAAAACCCAACCAGACCACTAAGAAAAAATATTTTCCCAATATACCTGTACACTTGTATGGTTTTGGGATATTGACTATGAGAGGGGGGTGGGCGCGGGGGGCGGGGGGAATTATTAGGGTGGGGGGGGCACTCAGACCCCCAGGGTTGCGCCCGCACAGCGGATTTCACTATTTAGTAGTTTCCCAAGAATAGGGGGACCCCAATATAGACTTTATTCTAGGTACATAGGGTTTAGAGCTGACGGGATCCCCAATACTAGAGTCATTATTATAGGGACTCCCTAAAAAGATATCCCTAGTTTTGGGAACCCCCCCCCCCAACCCCCAACCCTAAAGC